AAGGAAATGAAATGTGAATGCTTTTTGTCACTATAAAATTATAGCTATCTCTGTCTTGTTAATTCTGTTAACTGTTAAGATGATTTTGCCCTTACTAATTTTCATTTATGTATTTGTTTATGCATTTAACAGATTCCTAATCATCAAGCTGTTGATCAGACTACTGATCACAACCAATGCTGGTACTGCACCTTCTAGAACCAAGGGCTTAAGCAAACCCCAGGATCACTTCTCCTTGCCTTCCTTTTTTTTTTTTCTCTGCTTGCATTGGTGTGAACTCCTAGAACATGTGACCTGCCTCAAGAAAATGCAGTTTTCAAACACAGACTCAGCATTCGGCCTCCAATGAATGAGAGACATCTTCCAAGAATATAAACAATTAACTCTGGTTTGCTTTCAAAAAAGCAAAAGCATCTACTTGCTTCAGTTGGCATGGTGCCTGCTCCACTCTGCTTTGTCCCAGAGCCGGTGCTTTGCAAGGCCATCTCTGAGTAATGGACTCAGCAGCATTTTCAGGCATGTCAGAGAAGGGAGGACTCATTAGAATTAGCAAACAAAACCACCCCAACATACTCCCTTAGGAACAGGGGGAGCAGGGCCAAAGCACTTAGGAGAGGGTGCATACCCAACAGACAAAGGTATGAAGAAAATATGGAGGAACTGTTACATGTTCGGTACTAAATCACTTTCAGGGGATTGAAAGACTATTGCTGGATTTCATGATGCTGACCAGTGTTAGCTGGTTAACCCACGTAAATAGGCACTCAAATAGAAGGAGGGCAGGGAGGGAAAGACTCTGGACTTCCTCCCTGGTCCCGCCGTTAACATATCACTTGTAGTGGCCAGAACAGGGTGTCAGAAGTGCAAGGCAGTACTGGCTGCCACTGCCTGGTCACATTGAAATTGTTGGTTTTATTTCAGATGTATCTTGTGCAGATGTAGCAGAAAATAGGAAAACCTACCATCTCAGTGAGCTCTAGCTGCCTCCCAAAGGAGGGACAGCTGTGCTTATATTTTTATGGTTAGAAAGGCACAAAATTATTATCAATCTAACTAAAACATTCCTTTTCTATCTTCCTGAATTACCATGGAGTTTTTCAATTCTCTTTTGGACTATAGTTTCTTGGGCTTGTTGTTGTTGTTGTTGTTGTTTAACAAATGCTTTACAGTGTAAAATATTTATTTTATACCTATTCTGGGGGATCTGTCTGAAAGATTATTTGTGGAACAGGAAGTAGTGTAAGGACTATCCATATCATCTTTGTTAGAAGTCTTCATATGACTGTAAGATTGTAAATACAGATTATTTATTAACTCTGTTCTACCTGGAATAAGATTTCATATGGAAAATGTTTGAGAGCAGGTAGCTGAGATTTATCAGCAAACCTCTTTAAAACTGGCACATGGAAAATCAGCACAACGAGCTGCCTTTTCACTTTGTGCTTAGAGTGAATGATTTAGAATTCTTTCTTCTTTGTTTTGTCTTTCCAAGAATTTCTGGTTGTCTGTTTGCAAGTATTTTGGATTGCAAAAAAAGCCATGAGATCCCATCCTTTGTGCCTATTTCCAGGGAGAATAAAAACATACGCCTATTTTTTTTTTCATTTTTCCAAAAGAGAAAGAAATGACAAAGGTGAAACTTATATACAAATATTACCTCATTTGTTGTGTGACTGAGTAAAGAATTTTGGGATCAAGCAGAAAGAGTTTAAGTGTCTAACAAACTTAAAGCTACTGTAGTACCTAAAAAAGTCAATGTTGTACATAGTATAAAAATTCTTTGCAGAAAAAAATATTCCCAGTAAGGAAATAGCATTGAAATGTTAAATACAATTTCTGAAAGTTGTGTTTTTTTTTCTATCATCTTGTATATCATTGCTTTATTTTTATAAATTATTTTCTCATTGCCATTGGAATAGATATCTCAGATTGTGTAGATATGCTATTTAAATAATTTATCAGGAAATACTACCCATAGAGTTAGTATTTCTATTTTTATATGTTTGCACACTGAATTGAAGAATTGTTGGTTTTGCTCTTTTCTTTGTTTTATTTTGTTTTGATTTTTGCTTTTTACTCCCCAGTTTTTACTATTTGCCAATAACTTTTTCTAGGAATGTGCTTTTTTGTACACATTTTTATCCATTTTACATTCTAAAGCAGTGTAACTTGTATATTACTGTTTCTTATGTAAAGGAACAACAATAAATCACATGGAAGTTTATATTTATACTTACTGTATCCATGTTTATTCTCTGCTGGCTTTATATTATGAGAGATGGGTAAATGCCATTCTTAAACCAATATAACATACTCAAAATGAAATTACAGTAAACAATAGTAACATTCACAGTTCCTATATGATTTAAAAAGACTTGAGTTGTTCAAGACTAAGTTTAGAATAAATATTTGTGGAATAAAAGAACAAAATGATAAATTAGTCTACCACATTAAAAACATAAAAGACAACCTTTAAGTCTTGGACCCCAAAAGGAATACAATTTCATATTATCATTAATATCATTAGGTGTCATATATGGAATCCTTCTCAAAGTCCAGATCTATTTCTAAGAAGAACAATAAAAAAGACGAACAGCTGTGAAGCACATGTACCTCTTGCAAATCCATTTCCTGACTCATGGATGGCGGCACTGGGTAGGCAATGTGATCACAGGTCATGGAGTAGCTTCAGATGAAAGTGTGTATGAGGGAGGAATTGTCTTTGAAAAGCTGAGCTAAGTGTTATAGATATCACCTTTTAGAGAATGATATCTTTCTTTGGTCAAAAACAGATGACTAAAGAGAAATTTAAAATTTGGAAGGAATGCATAAATGTGTGTGTAAATATCAAATTATTTTGTGAAGAGAAGGCCAACATGTTAAAATAAGCATACCTTGAGTTCTGGATGGGTTAATCATGAATGTGAAATACTGACCAATTAATTTCCAGTCTTAATAAAAATGAATCAAAGAGGAAACTTTGTAAGTAAGATTAAAGGTCTTGCTCTGAGGTCTGTTAACCACTAGACGGAATTGGCTAGCAAAATAAGTCTTCCTCTCTCATTCATTTTCTCTCTTGCTCTAAAAACATCTGTCTAGGTAGAATGATCATATATAAGTATAAATTGCCAAATCATTTTATAGAACCAAGGTAAGGAAGTAGGAACTAAGAAGTGTTGGTAATAATTGTGTAATTAGGAAAACTGATCTGAAAGAAATAATTATTTGAAACATAAAACCATTTGTTCTCAGAGAAGTTCAACAAATGAAGTCCTGGGAGAGAATTCTAATATGTAGGTAATACAGCAAAATTGACTTGAGAATACCAGGTTGAGACAGAAAAGTGGCTGGGAACAAGCTTTTCTTCAGGCATATTCCATTTCACTCCAAAATTGACCTCCAAGCCAGCAAGTTATACTTGGAATAAAGGACTTGTTAAAAAATAAAATTATGTTATTACCAAGATGATAGGATTTTTTCCTCCAAAGGTAGTTTATTGTCACGTGTTTCAAGAGAGTTGGATTGAAGGGCAATAAACTTTTAAGTCCTATGAGAATTTACAATTAAGGTGGTACCAGTAGTTTTTGTTAAAGAGTTGCGTATAGAAAAATTGAATAATTTAAGTTCCTAAATTTATTCCAAAAATGAATTGGCTCTTTGTCTTCTGTACTTTTTATCTTGTTCTGGGGAAAATAGGCTTAGAAGGTATCTCAAAATTAAAATTAAAATGCTATTCTTAGTAAAAAAAAAAATACCTTTTCTTTCTAAATCAGAAGTTTCTAAAAAAATTTTTTAAAAATCTGGAGACTTTATGTTGACTTAAATTATAAAGGCAGTTTACCAGTCCTTGTTAGAGTAGACAAGCTATGGAATGGTGTCAGCTCTTTTAATGACAAAATTCATTACTTAATATCATTCTGTTTTTCTTCCCCTCACTTACACTCCTGTAACAGGTTCACTATTCCCCCAAGTACTATTTGCAGAAGCACACTAAGGTGTCATAAGCCCTTTGCAGTACTGAACTAGAAATAGCTTCTCTGTGTTTCTCCATTTCATTTTTTCTCTTCTCTCTTTCCTTCCCTATCTGTGTCTCTGTGTCTCTTTCTTTCTCTAGGTCTAGGTCTCAGTCTCAGTCTTGGATACATATTCTCTCTCTCTCTCTCTCAAACACACACACACATACATACATACATACACACACACACACACACACACACACACACCAAATAAAAGAAAAGTATGGACTTAGAAAGCTGAGCTCCTCTAAAAAGCTCATGAGTAATGATGGCTCTTCTCTGATCCGCTCCAAATTCCCATCCATGCCACCTCTGCCCTCCAACTGTTCTCACTCAAATCCTTCAACACACAGGAATGCCTCATTATTTCTATAAGAATCTAAACTCATGGCTTTTAACTTTTGCTGGCTCGCACAGCAAAAATTTTGGCATCAAGATAAATTATACGGTAGCACACTGACATCAGTATGAATCATTGCTATTTTAAATGAACAAACAGTAAATTGAAATGGAAAGGCTGGGAAAAGAAATTGCCTATCAATACCTCTGAAAATAGTACCTATATTGTTATACAAAATTACATATAAGAGGTTGTGAGGGGAATGGGAAAATAAACAAGGAGAGAAATGAATTACAGTGGATGGGGTAGAGAGAGAAGATGGGAGGGGAGGGAGGGGGGATAGTAGAGGATAGGAAAGGTAGCAGAATACAACAGTTACTAATAGGGCATTATGTAAAAATGTGGATGTGTAACCGATGTGATTCTGCAATCTGTATTTGGGGTAAAATTGGGAGTTCATAACCAACTTGAATCTAATGTATGAAATATGATATGTCAATAGCTTTATAATGTTTTGAACAACCAATTAAAAAAAAAGAATTCATTTTAAAAAGTCAAGGAAGTAGGATTCAAGCAATCATTAAAATTATCTAACATCAGTAGATGAATGTGTTCCAGCAAAAAATAACAACACTACACACAAATATTACTCCAAATTTTATTAGAAGCAGCACAATATCCAGCTCATTTTTTGGCTGAAATAAATTAGATTTTTAGTTTTAATTTAATGCCAATTCAGCTTATGGGATATTCACATAAATTTTTCCAATGAATCTAGGTAAATTACTTATAAAAAGACAAAACTTGAGGCTAGGGTTGTGGCTCAGCGGTAGAGTGCTCGCCTAGCAAGTGTGAGGCCCTGGGTTCAATCCTCAGCACCACATAAAAAAATAAATTAAAAAATAAAGGTTTAAAAAAAAAGACAAAACTTTTCTTTTAATGGTAGCACAGACTTTTGTTGCTCATCTTGCTAAATTCTCAAAGGCTCTAACTCTGAAAGAATGGACTAAACTGAAAGAATATATCAAATAACTTGTTAAACTACTTAAGAAAAGTATTATGGCTAATAAGTTACTATAAGCTCCCTTAATGTTGACAAAATTCATTTCTTCCTGTGGCCTGATTGCCTTTTGTCTCTTTAAGGACAGAGGGGGAAAACTGTGACACTAAAAGAAATGAAATAGAAATGTTTTTCTACCCTTAGTGAGAAGGTTAACAGAAAAGGCACAATTGACAACATAATCAAATAAAAAAGAAAAAGAATCAAATATAGAACAATCATCAATCATACCACTTTCACTAGTTTAACACACACCCATATGTTACAATGTTGGTTTTTATAACTGTGTCCCTGATGTTGCAAGATTAGCAACATACTTACAAATTTCCCAGAAATTTCAATGAAGAAAAATCATTGAACAATTGTACCCCAAGTCTCAAAAAATAGCAAGGAAATGTAATTTACAAAGCAAGAAGGTTTTTAGTTTTTATTTATTTGTTTGTTTGTTTGTTCGTTTTGGTGCTGGGGATTGAACCCAGGATCTTGTGCTTGCAAGATAAACACTCTACCCCAGCCCCAATGTCAAAATCATAAGAAATAGTCTCTATAATGCATTCATTAAATTCAAAGAATTCAGAAAGAAATAGACTTTAACTTCATTACCAACTTTCTTCAGAACACATCCCAGGAGGTCCTTGCTTAAGATTCTTCACATTCTTCCACTACATCTTCAGTCTCCTGTTCATCTACATATAAAAATAACAACCAAAGTCATTAGATAATCAGAAATGTGTCCATAATTAAGGCAAATAATTGAGCCTATTAAATATTAAATCCTTTAACATATAATACATCACATTCTCATGTAATATGTATTAGTAGTCACCACAAGTTGTATATAAAGCTTAAAAGTAAGATCAAAAGATAAGGTGTTTGTCTTCATTAAGCTTACTTCTCAGACAGAACTTTTTGGGTTTTGAAAGCTGAGATGATTATGGATTTAGAGATAGACAACAAAATTACTTTTTTGCTTTCTATTAAGCTTCCAGGAAATAGGGTAAAGTGAATGCTATATGTAGGGTAGATAAGAAATAATTGACTTTGTCTCTTCAAAAACAGAGATAAATCGTGACACTAATAGAAGAGGAATGGAAATGTTTTTCTACCCTAAGGTGAGAAGGTTAACAGAAAAGACAGAATTGATAACAGAATTAAATAAAGGAAGATAATAAGAATCACAAAAGACTTGTGGAAAATAATATGTCATAGTAGCTTTGGAAAAGAGTCTGGCAATTCCTCAAAAGGTTATGATAGACCTGGTGATTCTACTCCTAGGTATATGCCCAAGAGAAATGAAAATATGCATTCACACAAAAACTTGTTCACAAGTATTCACATCAGCATCATATATATATATATATATATATATATATATATATATATATATATATTAACCAAAAATTAGAAACAACCCAAGTGTCCATCAAGTATTAAAGTGATAAATAAAATATGGACTATCCATACAATGGAATATTATTTAACAATAAAAAGAATGAAGTATTGGCATACTGCAACATGGATAAACCTTGAAAACATTATGTTAAGCATAAAAGGCCAGTAGCAAAAGGTGACATATTGTATGATTCCATTTATGTGAAATATTCAGGCCAGGCAAATTCATTGAGACAAAAAGTAGGATAGTGACTGCCTAGAGCTGGGGATTAGAAGAAAAAAAAAGAATGATAATTAATGGACATAGTGTTTCTTTGAGGTGGGATAAGGAAAATATGAAATCGATAGCAGTAATGGATGTACAACTCTGTGATTACAGCATAAATCTTTGAATTATACACTTTAAATGGGTGAATGCTTTGGTGTTATTAAAAGAGTGGCCCCACAAAAACTATGTCCTCATTGTTTTTAGGCCCTGGATTTGTGAATTTTACCTTATTTTGGAAAAAGTTCATTTTCTAAAATGAGGCCAAATTAAAGGATCCTGAGATTAGGAGATCATCCTGAATTATCGGGGTAGGCCCTAAATTCAGTGAGAAATATTTTTTAAAGAAAAAAGCTGAGGGAAATTAAGAAACCCAGAAAGGAAGGCAATGTGAAGAGAGAAGAAAAGACTGCAGTGATGTGATCAGAAAGTGAGAAAGCCAAAGAACACTGACAGCCATGAGAAACTGGGAAAAGCAAGTAAGAAGCATCCTCCTCTACCGCCTCCAGGCAGAGTGTATGTAGTCTTGGTGACTCCTTGATTTCGGACTTCTGACCTCCAAAACTATGAGAATAAATTTCTGTTTTGGCAATCAGTTACAGCAACCATAAGAAACTAATACAGGTATATAAATTAAATCTCAAAACTATTATTTAAAAATTCAAAAAAATCAGTTGAATAATTAAGTCCAGATGATTTGAAGCTTCCGAGAAAAGTGAGAAACTTAATGATATTGTCATTCCCTCTGTAATGATGCCTATGGACTTTGTTCTGAAGGTCTTATATGCTTGTCCCACTCCACTGTAATTATCTATGAAAGTGCCTCTCTTCATCAATAGACTATGAAAATACTCCAGAGCAGTGATTATGTCCTACTTATTTTGTATTTTGGAACAATGGTCCTCAATTGGGGAAAATTTTGTCCCCCAGTTAACATTTGGTGATGTCTGGAAATACTTTCGTTTGTCAGAACTTCATGGTACACTATTGGCATCTATTGAGTAGAAAGAAGCGGAGATTCCATTAAATATCCTACAATGCACAGAACAGTTCCCGACAACAAAGAATGTCCAGCCCAAGAATGTCAACAGTGTAAGGCTGAAAACCCCTGTCCTAGAACATAGTAAACCAGGTAAAACACAGTCACCAAGAGCACCTAAGAAGCAATTAATAGAACCTGTAAAAGTAATTTAACAAATAAATAGGTCTGAGGACAAACTGAGAAAAAGAGAAATCCATGAAGACAACGATGAATTAAGGACTTCACTTGGAGCAAACCAAAATATTCTTTTTTATGTAAATTTTTTATTTATATATGAAAGCAGAATGCATTACAATTCTTATTATATAGAGAGAGCAAAATTTTTCATATCTCTGGTTGTATACATGGTATATTCACACCAATTCGTGTCTTCATACATGTACTTTGAATAGTAATGATCTATACATTCCACCATCATTAATTACCCCATACCCCCTCCCTTCCCTTCTCACCCCTCTGCCCTATCTAGAGTTCCTCTATTCCTCCCATGCTCCCACTCCCTATCCCAATATGAATCAGCCTCCTTATATTTTAAAAAAAAAAGATTGGCATTTGTTTTTTGGGGATTGGATAACTTCACTTAGCATTTATCTTCTCTAACTCCATCCATTTACCTGCAAATGCCATGATTTTATTCTCTTTCATTGCTGAGTAAATATTCCATTGTGTATATATGCCACATTTTTTTAGCCATTCATCTATTGAAGGGCATCTAGGTTCCACAGTTTAGCTATTGTGAATTTTGCTCCTATAAACATTGATGTGGCTGTGTCCCTGTAGTATGCTATTTTTAAGTCCTTTGGGTATAGACTGAGGAGAGGGACAGTTGGGTTAAATGGTGGTTCCATTCCCAATTTTCCAAGAAATCTCCATACTGCTTTCCATATTGGCTGCACCAATTTGCAGTCCCACCAGCAGTGTATAAGTGTACTATTTTCCCCACATCCTCGTCAACACTTATTGTTGTTTTTCTTCATAATAGCTGCCATTCTGACTAGAGTGAGACGAAACCTTAGAGTGGTTCTGATTTGCATTTCTCTAATTGCTAGTGATGATGAACACTTTTTCATGTATTTATTAATTGATTATTCATCATCCTCTGAGAAGTGTCTCTTCAGGGTCCTTGGCCCATTTATTGATTGGGTTATTTGGTTTTTGGTGTTTAGCTTTTAGAATTCTTTATATACCCTAGTGATTAGTGCTCTATCTGATGTGTAAGGAGTAAAGATTTGCTCCCAAGATATAGGCTCTCTATTCACCTCACAGACTGTTTCTTTTGTTGAGAAGAAGCCTTTTAGTTTGAGTCCATCCCATTTATTGATTCTTGATTTTAATCCTTGTGCCAAAGGAGTCTTATTAAGGAAGTTGGGGCCTAATTCCACATGGTGGAGATTAGGGCCTACTTTTTTTCTATTAGAAAAAGTAGGGTCTCTGGTTTTATTCTTAACTCCTTGATCCATTTTTAGTTGAGTTTTGTGCATGGTGAGAGATAGGGGTTAAATTTCATTTTGTTGCATATGGATTTCCAGTTTTCCCAGCACCATTTGTTGAAGATGCTTTCTTTTCTCCAATGCATATTCTTGGCACCTTTGTCTAATATAAGATAATTGTAGTTTCATGGGTTAGTCTTTGTGTCCTCTATTCTGTACCATGGGTCTACCAGTCTGTTTTGGTGCCAATATCATGCTGTTTTTGTTACTATTGCTTTGTAGTATAGTGTAAGGTCTGGTAAAGTGATGCCACCTGCTTCACACTTCCTCCTAAGGATTGCTTTAGCTATTCTGGGTCTCTTATTTTTCCAATTGAATTTCATGATTGCTTTTTCTATTTCTATGAGAATGTTATTGGGATTTTGATCAGAATTACATTAAATCTGTATAGGTTTTTGGAAGTATGGTCATTTTGATAATATTAATTCTGCCTATCTAAGAGCAAGGTAGATCTTTCTATCTTCTAAGGTCCTCTTTGACTTCTTTCTTTAGGGTTCTGTAATTTTCATTACATAGATCTTTTCCTCTTTTTTTAGTTGATTCCCATTTATTTTATTTTTATTTATTTTATTTTATTTTTTTAGCCTATTGAGAATGGGGTAGTTTTCTTCATTTGCCTTTCTGAGGATTTGTCACTGATACACAGAAATGCCTTTGATTTATGGGTGTTGGTTTTATATCTTGCTACTTTGATGAATTCATTTACTAGTTCTAGGAATTTTCTGGTGGAACTTTTAGGGTCTTCCAGGTATAGAATCATATCATCAGCAAATAGAGCCAATTTGAATTCTTCTTTTCCTATGTGTATCCCTTTAAATTCTTTTGTCCATCTAATTGCTCTGGCCAGTGTTTCAAGAACTATGTTAAATAGAAGTGGTGAAAGAGGGCATCCTTGTCTTGTTCCAGTTTTTAGAGAGAATGCCTTCAATTATTTTCTCCATTTAGAATGACGTTGGCCTGGGGCTTAGCATAGATACCCTTTATCATGTTGAGATATGTTTCTGTTATCCCAAGTTTTTCTAGTGTTTTGAACATAAAGGGGTGCTGTATTTTGTCAAGTACTTTTTCTGCATCTATTGAGATGATCATATGATTCTTATCTTCAAGTCTATTGATGTGATGAATTACATTTAATTATTTCCATATGTTGAAACAACCTTGCATCCCTGGGTTGAATACAACTTGATTGTGGTACATGATCTTTTTGATATGTTTTTGTATTCAATTTGCCAGAATTTTAATGAGAATTTTTGCATCTATGTTCACTAGAGATATTAGTCTGAAGTTTTCTTTTTTTTTTTCTTTTTTTTTTGATGTGTCTTTGCCTGGGTTTGGAATCAGGGTGATATTGACCCCATAGAATGAGTTTGGAAGTGCTCTTTTTCTATTTCCGAAATAAATTGAAGAGTATTGGTATTAGTTCTTCTTTAAAGGTCTTGTAGAACTTGGCTGTGTATCCATCCAGTCCTGGGCTTTTCTTGGTTGGTAGACTTTTGATGGCATCTGCTATTTCGTCATTGAAATTGAGCTGTTCAAATTGTGTATATCATCCTGATTCAATTTGGGCAAATTATATGACTCTAGAAATTTGTCAATGCCTTCATTATTTTCTATTTTATTGGAGTACAAGTTTTCAAAATAATTTCTAATTATCTTCTGTATTTCTGTAGTGTCTGTTGTGATATTTCCTTTTTTAAAAAAACATATGTTAGTGATTTGAGTTTTCTCTCTCCTACTCTTCATTAGCATGGCTAAGGGTCTGTCAATTTTACTTATTTTTTCAAAGAACCAACTTTTTGTTCTGTCAATTCTTTCAATTGTTTCTTTTGTTTCAATTTCATTGATTTCAGCTCTTATTTTAATTATTTCCTGTCTTCTGTTTCTTTTGGTGTTGATTTGTTCTTTTTTATAGGGCTTTGAGATGTAGTATTAAGTCATTTATTTGTTGACTTTTTCTTCTTTTAAGGAATGAAGTTTGCAATGGAATTTCCTCTTAGAACTGCTTTCATAGTGTCCCAGAGGTTTTTATATGTTGTATCTGTGTTCTCATTTATGTCTAAAAACTTTTTGATCTCCTCCTTGATGTCTTCTGTAACCCATTATTCAATAAGTAGCATATTATTTAGTCTCCAGGTGTTGGAGTGGATTTTATTTCTTATTTTATCATTGATTTCTAATTTCATTCCATTATGATCTGATAGAATGCAGGGTAGTATCTCTATTTTTATATTTGCTAATAGCTGCTTTGTAGCATAGTATATGGTCTATTTTAGAGAAGGATCCATGTGCTACTAAGAAAAAAGTATATTCTCTCATAAAGTTGAAATATTCTATATGTGTCAGTTAAGTCTAAGTTATTGATTGTATTATTGAGTTCTATAGTTTCTTTGTTCAGCTTTTATTTGAAAGATCTATCTAGTGATGAAATAGGTGTGTTAAAGTCACTCAAAATTATTGTGTTGTGGTCTATTTGACTCTTGAACTTGAGAAGAGTTTGTTTGATGAATGTAGACGCTCCATTGTTTGGGGCATATATATTTATAATTGTTAAGTCTTGTTGTTGTATTATTCCCTTGAACAGTATCTTTATCCTTTTGATTGAAGTCTACTTTATTTGATATGAGGATGGAAATCCCTGCTTGCTTCTGCAGTCCATGTGAGTGGTATGATTTTCCCCTACCCTTCACCTTCAGTCTGTGAATGTCTTTTTCTATGAGATGTGTCTCTTGTAGGCAGCATGGCAGCACAATGTTGGGTTTTTTGGCTATTTGTTTGTTTGATCCAATCTGCTAGTCTATGTCTTTTGATTGATGAGTTTAGGCCATTAACATTCAGGGTTATTATTGAGACATGATTTGTATTCCCAGCCATTTTTGTTTATTTTTGATATTTAATGTGACTTGGTTTTGCCTCTGATTAGATTTTCCTTTAGTGTAATCCCTCCCTCTGCTGATTTTTGTCATTGTTTTTCATTTCCTCTTCTTGGAATATTTTGCCGAGGATGTTCTGTAGTGCAGGCTTTCTAGTTTTAAATTCTTTTAACTTTCATTTATCATGGAAGGTTTTTATTTCATCATCAAATCTAAAGTTTAGTTTTTCTGGATATAAGATTCTTGGTTGGCATCCATTTTCTTTCAGAGCATTGTATATGTTATTCCACGATCTCCTGGCTTTGAGGGTCTGGATTGAAAAATCTGCTGAGGTACGAACTGGTCTCCCCCTATATGTGATCTGATTCCTCTCTCTTGCAGCTTTTAAGATTCTATCCTTTTCTGTATGCTAGGCATTTTCATTATAATGTGCCTTGGTGTAGATCTGTTGAAATTTTGTACATTAGATGTCCTGTAAGCCTCTTGTATTTGGTTTTCCAATTCATTCTTCATGCTTGGGAAATTTTCTGATATTATCTCATTGAAGAGATTGTGCATTCCTTTGGTTTGAAACTCTGTGCCTTCCTCTATCCTGATTACTCTTAGATTTGGTCTTTTGATGCTGACCCATAATTCTTGGATGTTCTATTAATGGTTTCTAACTTTCTTCACTGTGTGATCAACTTTATTTTCTAGATTGTATACTTTGTCTTCATTATCTGATGTTCTTTTTTCCAAATGATCTAGTCTATTGGTTATGCTTTCTATTGAGTTTTTTATTTGATGTATTGTAGCCTTCATTTCAAGGATTTCTGACTTTTTTTTTCCAGTTTCTCTATCTCTCTCTTGAAGTAATCTTTTGCTACCTTATTTGTTCTCTTATCACATTGTTGGAGTGATCAATTTTTGCTTGTATTTGCTAACTTAGGTCATTCTTTAATTCACAGATCATTTTAATTATGAACATTCTGAACTCCTTTTCTGACATTTCATCAACTTCACTACCCATAGATTCTGTTGTTATAGTGTCCTGGTTTGTTTGGGGCACTTTCCTCCCTTGTTTTTTTTTTCATGTTGTCTATGGGTCTTCCTTTATTGCAGTGTGTATCTGAGATATTACAGTTTCTTCCCTATATTCTTGTAGTACCTGTGCAGATTGTCTGTAACTCACCTTGATGTTGGGCTTCCAGACCCTGCTGGTATCCCTCAATGGATGCTACTGCATCCTGTGTCTGGGACCTAAGTAAGTTGGAGTGGGTGGATCTGAGCTGCTAGGCTTGACCTCCCATGGCAGTCTGCTGATAGGAAGAGGCAATCTTGTGCCAAAGGCTAGGCTCTGGCAGTGTCTGCTTTGCCGGGGGAGGGATGAACCGGGCAAAATCCTGGATCCTGCATGGGTTGTTGTGAGCCATCTGGGCTGGATCTCAGCTCTCGGGGTAGTACACTGGTCAGAAGGGCAGTCCTGCACCAGAGGCTAGGCTCTAGTGAGTGTCTGCCCCACCAAGAAAGGTGTGGATCCAGCCCACTGTGTGCCTGGACCCTGCAGAGGCTGATGTGGGTGGGATCCAAAATATTCATTTAATGGAAAAAAATTAGCTAATAGTGTCACTATTTCTAAAATCCCAGGGCTCCACTGCAAAGCAATAAGACTACATTATGACAAACAAAAGCTTCTCAAACACTCTCGTTCCTTTGAACTGTTTAGTGGAATAATGACATACACCAGCACATACCCCTTTCAAACCACTGCAGTACACTTCCCAAAATCAATCCACCACAACCAGGTTTCATCAATACTGTTACAATCAAGTGGATGGAACTTCAATATTAAGTACACTCAAATTGTACAATTGTCATTATTGGTAGAACTAGTTCTATCTGAGGACCACAATAAGATAACATAATTAGCTTCCTTTCACTAAACTGAAACCCATATTTCTCAAGTGCACCCAGTGAAATCCTGTCACCACATTAATTGACAGCTAGAAACTCTTATTTCAGTTAAGCCTGGAGAGGGTCTTGGACATGGGTATCAAAATAAACAAGCAAAGACTCCTTGGATGATCCCAATGTGCTCCTTTGTTACAAGTAACACTCTGGGATATAAAACACATGTTCTGTAAGTCTCACCTGTTGTTGGTTTCCCAGGAAAACTCAGTTTCAGATGTTGGTCTTCTGATGAAAGGCTCACATTGACACCATACAGTGGATCATCCAAGAAGGAAGGCCTTTTCAATCTCCCAATGCCAACAGTCTTTGACATAAAGTAGTCTTCTGCATCACTAATAACCTCATTCTTGGAAAATTGGAGGCATTTCATATTCTCTGTGTCAATTACAAAAGCTTCTGATATATAATGCCCAGTCAGGGCTTCTGTGAGATAGCACTGTTCATCAACTTTACATTCTACATTCTCGAGCATATCTTCATCCTCTACCTCAGTTTTCTGGACCTCTGCTTCTGATCTATTTAGTAACTTAGAGAGGATAGATCTAGAAAGCTTGGGGAACTCTGATGTTACGTCCTCAATATCTTCATTTTCTCTGTCAGAAGAAAGCCTCATGATGGACTTTTGTTTGAATGTGCATTCATCCAGAAGACACCTCAACTGTTCCTCAGAGAGAAGTGATGTGGAATCTAACTGATAAAACAAACCAAAAGTTTTCATAATCAATTGATTGAGTAAACATGTTTATGTTTGCTAAAGTTCCAATAATACAATATAATGAAAATGCCAGGAAACCCCTTACATTATATATGCAAGTAAGAAAACAAATTATTGTAAATTATTAAAAAGTGCAAAGCAGCCCTAGAGAATAACTTTAGACTCAATCATTCACACTAGAATTAGAGTGGGGTGGGGGAGGTGAAGGAAATCCTACAAAAATTAATTACTGTACCACATTAATCACTAATAACCTCTCTACACATAAAAGTAACTTGAGCTTAAACAGAGACATCAGAAAAGCACCTTTGATTTTAAAAATCATCAAGCAAAGAAGTAGGCAATCACCTCTTTGATAAACAGACGGGAATCTTGTCATAATCCCCAGGAGGTATTTCTCTGTCTCCACCCATTCCTCAGCATAAACCCAACCACCACCCAATTCCGTAATTGAGAAGAAAAAAAAATCTGAGGCTAATAGAGCTTATTGCATCTGCCCCCAGTGATTCACTCTTCTGTCTGCTACAATATTCAGTGGACAATACTGCTGAAAACAGAAAAGGAAGAGTGAAGGAGTAGAGCATCCTGAGATGTGCAGTTGCTTCAAAGTTACAGGTCCAGGCAGGAACCAAGAGCATTCCAGGAGCAGTGCATTTAGGGAGAAAGATTTGATCATACTTATTAAATATTTACCTGTAAAGATAACCAGGGCTAGGTATTTGAACTAAGACCTTAAAGATTTAGAACATTTTTCTTCTGGTTATGTCCTCAGAAATAAATAAATCAAATCAAAGAATAGAGCCACAGTTTACAAAAATTCAACTGAACTACATGCTACTTGAGTTAAAACAATCTCAAAAAGGAATAGCTTTAAAATGTATTGAAACACATTGAAAAAAAAAATCTCTCCTCCTCTAATTAATCAGCATATTCCACAGTGTATTATCTAGGAAAACACTCATCCTCCTTTAAAAAGGAATAAGTTCTCTAAGAATAAGAAGTCCCCATAAGAAAAATTTTATTATTACTTGCAATGGCCTTAATATCTACTTCTGCAAAGCAAAATAATGCTATTATCCTACTTTGTAAGTAAACAGTAAAAAATACTAAATATTCTGTATACATAGAGCAGAGAGAGAGGGGGAGATTCTGCTATTACAACTATAATAGGTAACTCCCCATTAGCAGCATGTAATGCTTCTAGTGTAGCTAATAAAAATAGCATGTAAAAAAATTGCGTATTATAAGATTATGTACTCCATTTGAATCAAATGTATGATATGTCAAGATCATTGAATTGTTTTGAGCAACTAACATGTCAAGATCATTGTAATGTTTTGAGCAACTAACAAAAAAATTTTAAGAAGTTGCATATTATACTTTTAAAATCTATCATCTGTTTTATTTTTATTTAAAAAAAAAAAAAATATATATATATATATATATATATATATTTAGTTGTAGTTGGACACTATACTTTTGTTTTTTATTTATTTATTTTTATATGGTGCTGAGGATTGAACCCAGGGCCTTGCACGCACTAGGCAAGTGCTCTACCACGGAGCCACAACCCCAGCTCTTATTTATTTTAAAATTATATTTAACCAACCGATATGAAAACTCAGTGGCAAAAGTCACTGTGAGTTTGAGAATAATAAAGAGATTTTCTGGAAATGTATTCTTAGTAATTATCTGGAATTCACAATTTAGATAACTCACCTGAAGCTTAATATACATATCAAGAAATAGGAGTTAAATTATACATTAGTGAATTCTACTTTTAATCACTAAACACATTAGGCATTCAAATGTGGCACTTTATGTATTATGAAGAGCATTTCCTTCACCCTATTATGTAAACCTAGTCAACTAGAAAATGAAGGCTATCCTTGTGTGGCATTAGACACTTAAAATATACTTTCAAAATTTGCTTAAATAAGATTACTTAACATGAATAGACAATTCTATGGGATTTAGAAAGAGCCTACTAAGGAGCTCCAGTGGTACAATCAGTTAGTGTGCAATACTTCTTCAGAGAGCATACTACTCAACATCCTCATCAAACATCCTCACCAAAGGCTTAGCATTATGAAATTTCCAGATACTAGAGAAAGAATTAGTCCATACTAATGATAAAGAATTATGGAAGGAAGATCTCTAGGGGAACAAAGTGTGGAGGACAGGGTGGTATCTGATATGTTTGACTCCCTCCCAAAATAATATTGATAGGATAGATGCTTGGTGGTTATAATATAGATGGCTAGACACACAGAAAATGAGGCAAAGGGAAAAGCAAAGAAATTATGAACTCTGAGTAAAGCAAGTTGAAAAATGAAGCAAAGACAGTGCATTCATTCATGTGTGTGCGTGCATGTTTGTGTGAGATAGAGAGAGAAAAAGAGAGATAATTATTAACTCCAGGACAATCAAAAAGTTAAATAGGAGATCCTATACTATAGGATACCACTTGCTTCTGTTGTGAACAATATTTACACAATCATCATAACACAAATACTAACGTTTAAGGTAACCAAAAGTTGTTAAAATAAGAGAAGAGAGAATGGGTATTTGGAGTAACAAGTTAAATTCTTGATTACCATTTGGGGAACCCAATATATAATGTTAGAACCAATCAATTGTAAAAGTAAGTTACTAAAAAATAATATGGAGGTAAATATTTGCAGGAAACATCCAAGGAGTTAAGAGTGGATAATGCTGGAGAAAAAAAATCAGGGGTAGAAAAGTTTGAGTCAAGGAGTTGTCATTTTATTTAAAATATTTTAACACAAGTTTTAATTTTATATAATAAAATTTTAATTCACTTAAAACATAAAAGTAACTTAAGTGTATTCAAAATTTTTAAATAAAAATCTAAAATATTTAAATGAAATTCCCAACTAATTGTATCTTTGGACATCAGAAACAGATCCAGTTTCATAGAGCCAGAAACATATATGATCTTGCAGCAGGAGGAAAGCACTTCTTTTTAAAAAAATACAAAATTAAAATACAAAGTTATATACAAGATCACAACAAATTGTTGGCAGCTTGGAGAGTTAAGTCTGTGTCTGAAAATATCTCATTGAGAAGAAATGCTGATGGAAATGTTTGCTAATGCAAACCCACTCCAAAGCTCGTACAGCTGAGGGGCCTCATTGTTGAAGCTTCACTGGCTTCACAGCAAATCTGCTTCTCAGTAGTCGAAGATAAAACATAACACATTTCAGCCTTTATGTATCCAGAAATAAGCAGAACTACAATTTCTCGAGGGGGGAAGCAGCCTGATAGTAAAGAAAACACAAAGACTAGAACCTAGGCTTTCATCAAAGCTCTGTCACCCTGAATGTGTCACCCAAGTTCTCAGGGACCTATCACCTTTATCTGAAATGAGGAATTGAAGATAATCTCTAACTTGTCACTCTAAAATTACTATCTTAACAACTACTCCAAAAGTACAATAAAGGACAGGACTGGAGGTACAGCTCAGGGATAATATGTACACTTAGAATGCTTGAGGCCCTGGGTTCAGCATCCAGCTCCAGCAAAAATAAAAATAAACAAAAAAAAGAATGAAAGAATAAACTTTCTTATTAACATTAGAGAGTAGACTGGGTAGAATTATAAAAACTAAACAATAGGAAAGAACTTTCATTTCTTTAGCTTCTTCATATCAATGGTGAACCTTCATAAAAATTCTTTGGTCTCAAAACATTTTAAATAAAAATGAATCAAATATCTTAAGCCCTCAAATTAAATTAACTTGATTATAGTATTTCTGGGTGGTTGTACAGATCAGAAATTTTAGTAAAATCCATCTTTCATATCTTGATTCCCAGCAGAACTTTTCCCACAGTAAAATCACAGTAAATGATGCTTGTAGTGTTTTGTAAAGTACTCTACCAATAGATGTCATTTACAAATGCTGAATTGGACTAAACTAGGGCTCTATCACAAACATCCCTAACCACTCTCTACAGTTAAGGACTGTAACACAGCTCCATCTGGATTGCTCCTGACACTCCAGAGCTAATGAGCTCCATAATTGAACCACTCACTGTGCAAGCACAGTCAAGTAACCATCTGTTTAAGTATTTGCCTCAAATATTCATTTTTCATGCCAGCTCTAATTTCCCAATAGTTTATAAACAAGTTATTATTCTTATCATTCCTGTCTTTCATACATTTCAATAGTTTTAGTTTTTCTAGGTCAGAGATCAATCTGTTTTCTCCCTTTATATGAAAGGCCTTCTCCCCGCATCTTTATCTAGTGGTCCTTTTAGGAATCTTCCTTCTTGTTTTGACCAATACAAAGACAGTTCATAGCTAAAGAGTAAATGTATTATGCTCTTGTGGTGTGTGTTCTCATCTACCTTGCTGGGATTATTGGTAGAGAGTTGATGTCGTACAGGATAATTATAACTACCATTTATTAGGCACCTACTCTAGGCTAGACATTGCTGTGTTCATGTTATGTGTACTGATTCCTTTAACCTTTGCAACAAACTTGAGTCACCAAGTAAAAAACCTGTCCAAGGTCAGAAAATCTACTAAATGGTGAACTTGGGCTGAATGCCTCCCACTAGGCTGAACTGCCTCTCACTATAAATGTATTCTCTCTCTTCCATCTCCCAATGCCCTCTTCTCAACTGGTGTTCATTTATCTGTCTATTGTCTCTATTATTTATTCTGTCTATTCTTTTTTTTTAAAGGCTTTCTACAGGATATTTCAATTATCCACACAAGCTTTGTGTTTTGGGCAAGCTTACACTTGTCCTCTCCTTTGGCTCACTGCAAAACAAAAACTTGACAGCTACAGCTCCGTTTTCAGGGTGCCCTCTGTGTATGCCAGTTTGGTACAGGCACTAAATCAGATGAGGAGGCGACTTTTAACTGTTGGAGAGAGAACACAGACTGGTTCACCTCACTTTGGTCCCTGCCTCCCTGGCATCATGATTCTGTGTGACAGGAGTTT